GGTCTCCTCCACCTCTTGATCTGTGATTCTATGGGTCTTTCAGTCTTTACAAAGGTGGCTCTTCATCTAGGCATGGAACGATGGATAGGATTTATATACAGCAAGAGGCTGGTCATTAGAATAGGAAGAAATCATAGGAACCCACCAGATATAAAGGTAGAAATGAGCATGATAAATAGTTAAGAGAATGGAGAGTGAATATTGAATTTGTGGTGGATATGACTGCACAGAGAGGATGAGATCAGGTTGGAAAAGGTCTTTCAAGTGCCACAGAAAAATCTGGACTTGATGTGGTAGAGCCATTCTTGGGAAGAAGAGCATCCTAGTCAAAGTGATGTTTTAGGCCACTTGTTCTGGCAGATTAGCATCTAGACAACATGGATTGGAGGAGACTAGAGTACAAAAGGCCTGTTAGGAAGCTACTGATATAGTTCTGTGTTAGGGGAAGAAGAATGGCATGTTAAAGCAACATTGAATTGGAAAACAGAATCAAAATATCTGGGCTGGAAGGTAAGTCACCCAACTCTCTGAAAGTCCATTTCCTAAGCTGTAAAATGAAAGCAATGTGTATGCTATTATTTTACAGGATGATTTCAAGGATGGAGTGAGATGGTATATGCAGTATCTTTTAAACCATAAAGCGCTGTCATGTAGGGGAGCTCTGATGAAAAGCAGCAGTCTACACAGAGAAAGCTTTAACAAACTATTGCTACTCAGAAGGAGAGGATAGCTACTAATAGGGAGTCTCAATGTGCCTCCATGCTTAAAATGGGTAGCACACAGTGGGTGGGTTTGGGCTGGGAAGGTTGTATCCTTGCTCAAGTCCAAGGCTCAGAGTCCCTATGGGCTCAAACACAAAGTTTTACACAAAGGACCAACAAGATGCCAATAGGGCACCTTCTCCAGTTATCTATAGGACCAGTAAAGTGAGGGTATTTTCTAAATTGCCTAATAAGGAGTAAAGAATGAGCAGAGAAACTGGAAACTCAACCCTAATGGTGCCAATCCAGCAAGAGCCTGAAAAGGGTTAATTCCCCGAATCTGAGTTTATTAACACTGACATATTTATATGCTAGGTGGCTGGGACTGTATCATACAAACTGGTTTTCACTGGTTAAGAACACTAATTTTAAATTTTTTATTTTGAGCTCAAACACCAAAAAGGGCATTTCCACACCATACAACAGAACATAAAAGAGGGTTCTGTTGGAAACCATAAAGCTCCAGTTCATATTGCTAGCTTAAAATATGTATATATATATATATATATATATATATAACAAATTCTGCATATTGCTTTCAAAATTATATTGCTTGTCTGAACTTCCTCATATTCTATGCATCTTAAGAAATGTATCAATGATGCTCTTTTTTTTTTTTGGTGTCACTATAAAACACTACAGTGATGAACTGTGAATTTTTGGTTGTTCAGTTGTGCTTGACTCTTCGTGACCCCACTTGGGGTTTTCTTGGCAAAGATGCTAGAACGGTTTGCCATATCCTTCTCCAGCTCATTTTACAGATGAGGAAACTGAGGCAAACAGGGTGAAGTGACTTGCCTAAGGTCACGTAGCTAATAAGTGTCTGAGGTCAGATTTGAACTTAGGAAGGTAAGTCTTTTTGATTTCAGGCCTGGCACTCTATCTACTATGCCATCTAGCTGCCCTGAGTTGTTAACAGCTAGCATTTTTATAACACTTTAAGGATTATAAAATACTTTACATATATTTTCATTTGATCTTTGCAACAATCCTGTGAGGTAGGTGCTAATATCTCCATTTTGCAGATAAGGAAACTGAGGCTTTGAGAAGTTGTGACTCACCTAGTTTCACACTGCTAAATATCCTGCTGGGATCCTATCCCAGATAAGATCTGAACTCATCTTCTTGACTCCAGGTCCAGCACTATTCACTCAGCCACCGAGCTGCCCCTAGAGTGGTGACAGCAAGAATATAAAGAAATATTTTGGAGGAACAGATTTTGTGATCAATATAGAGGAGAAAGACTTTAAGATAACTCCATGGTCCTGAGCCTCAGGAACTGGGAGAATATTGGTAGCATTCATTAAGAGAGAATTGGAGCCAGCAATGGCGGTAGTATGTCAAGAAATGTCAGTAATAATGAGTTCTGTTTGAGACATGCTGAATTTGAATTAACTTGCACATAAAAGGAGGGGAAGGTAAAATCAGTGAATCAGAGTAGATTGTGAACTCCTTGAGGGCTGGGACGGTTTTTGGTCTCTATTTGTATCCCCAACACTTAGCCTGGAACATAGCAGGTGCTTGATAAATGGGCAGTGATTGAATAAAAAAAGATCTGGGAAAAGGGGATGAAGAAAACCTTAGCACTCCCTAGAAAATGGTGCACCTGGACCCAAGAGTAGGAAGACAGCACATACAATCAATAGCTATCAGCAATCTCTGTCAGTTCTATGCTGGAACTGCCTCCAGCTAGTGCATATAACCAGGGAGAAGAGCTTCAACTGCTGGCATTTGAAGCCTTATTTTCATCACACTATAGGGGCAGCCTGATAGTGACTATGAGATAGAGGAGCTAGGTAGGACTTCACTGCAGGGGGCACTGTGACTGCATCTATCTGCAAGGGATTCCTTGAAGTTTTTCCCTGTTTGTGGGTATGGTCTGTGGGACAATAGATTTTCCTGAGATTTCTGGTGTGCCTGGGATCTTTAAGCTCTACAACCAGCAGAAGTGAGTCCTTGGTAGCACCTTTTGAGTGATTCCGTCCCTCTCAAGGCATGTCTGTGTCAGAAATTAGGAACCTTGATAATGGTGGAAATGCGAATTCCAATGTGAGTTCTTTTGCTACCACTAACAAAGAGAATATGAAGTAGAATGAGAAAGTGCCTGGCAGATACAAAGAAAATGACTTGAGATTTCAAAGGAGGGAAGGGTTACTTTCTGACCGAGAAAAATCACTTCATAGAAGACATGGAATGATCTGTACCTTGAAGGATGGGTAGGATTTTCAACAGCTTGAGGTAAGAAGAGGATGGGCATTCCAAGAATAGGAAAGCAAAGGATATATTCAGGGCACAGCAAGTAGTTTATTCTGGCTGCAGTGTAGGGTTATGTGAAGGACAGTGACTTGTCATCACCACTGTCCCATCTATAACCTAGGGACCACCAGCAGATGCCAAATCTGACCCCAACTCATCCATCTAACCGCAGTACGAAGACACAAAGAAGAACAGACACATTCTTTTCCTTGGGTAAGTCTCCTAGTGAATTTGTTTATTACAAGTCATTCTCAGTTTCTCCTGCGTGAAGGATGTGCTCCTCTTTTATATCAACAGTGACAATGTGCTTTTAAGCAGAAATGCAATCCCACAGCCAGAACGTGGTACCCTGATGAGTTCATACCAGAATTATGCTGGCAGATCAACATCAGAATGACTTCAGCGTTGTTCACAAAGCTAAGAGTAGCAACCTGGTGACACAGGGTTGTGCATTGCTGATTCCAATATTAAACCAGAGTCAATAATAATGCTCAGAACATAAGCTCTGGGGTAAAACAGCCTTTATGGGTTATAAGTGCTTGTACCAAAAATCTCACTTTCAGCTTGAACACTTACTTTGTTTATAGTAAAAGTCTGTACCATGGCCAGATTTTCTCTGTAACCGTGTTCCTCCTCTACCCAAGATTTCAGATAGGCTTAAGGCTTTGCTCAATCCCTCCCTTCTCTATTGGTTTACTGTTCAAAAGTGAGTCAGAACATTCAGAAGGAAAAAAATACCAATATAAATCAGAATAGATGTGTATAGACACACACACACACACACACACACTCTATAAACAGTGATTCTGGGTGACTACTTAAATGCATTTAACATGATTCTGAACTAGGTGAAGTTGTGCAAGAATTTCTATGCATTCACTATTTTCTTGTACTGTTCCTTTCCCCCCTATTTATGTATATTTAACACACAAAGCCTCACACAATACATATAACGCTGAACCAAGTATACAGAGAAGCAGCATGCCACAGTACAAAAGGTACTGCTACACTGGGGAGCCAAACACTACCTGTGTTTTAGGATGGGTTCTGCCAGTGACTCTTTCTTTGTATGATGTTAAAGTTAGTTTGCCTTGCTGGGCCATCAGTTTCCTTATGTATAAGATGAGGGATCACAGGATCATAGAATTACAGCTGGAAGCGGCCTTAGAGGATTAAGAGCCCTAGATGACGCCTTCCAGCTCTATGATGCTACAGCTTCTAAAAATCTGTAATAAACTAGCTAACCCCAAATCCTCTGCTCCTCCTCCTGCTGCTCATATCCTTATCCTTTCAGAGCTTAACAGCAAATAATTCTAAAGGAGAAAAAAAGAAAGCGTTTAATAAGCACAAAGACAAGAAAATGAAAATATACAGTGAATATAAGGTTCAAAGTTATTGGCTTACTTCATAGCCTCCTTACTGTGATGGAATACATGGTAGGAGATTCGTTCTTTGGTAAACAGGGAAGTGAAAATCTTTTGGTCAAAGAGGCAGGACCTAGAATCTAAGGAACCCAAGGTTCTAGGTGTGTCCAAATCCTATCTTAAGAAACAGGATTGGTTCTAGGGATCCTACCTCTGAGGAGAATCAGTGAAATCCCAGACTGAGAATGAATCCCTAAACTCTAAAGTCTGCTCTCCTGAAAGCCTTGCCCAGCCTCTGTGGAACAGTTCTGCATTTTTGAACTACTTTACCACTTTGCATAGCCTAAAAGAGCCTTGAAGACTCAGGGCACTTAGCATGCCTTGAAGTCTGAGGTAGATGAGAATGCCTCCCCTAAATTTTCAAATGACTCTGTCTGGCAGTCTCCAAAAGGGGTGCTGGCATGTCACCTTATTTCATGGTTGTTGTCTTTCATCTGTGATGGGTCAATGTCAGAGGGCCAATGCAAAGATCCACCTCAATCGCAGACAGATCTGTACATGGGATTTATTTCAGATATAGATCAGTAACCGGGGCTTCAGAAACCACAATAAGCGTGTCTGGTTATTATATTATTCTTGGTTTATTTTCCATTCTTAAAATTGAGCATCGAAAGTTGTCCACACATATAAATAACACTACAGTTTCTTACATACTTTCTGCTATCTGCCATGACTTAAAGTATCCAATGGTGAAAAGAGAAAGAAAAAATCTTGTTGAAAGTTGAAGTTGGTTATTCTTGAGTGGCAGTACATTGATTTCTTCCCCTAGCTCCCTTCCACCAAGGAAGCAATGTGGGAAGACTATATGCACACAGATTAACATAGCATGCCCTTGTACACGGAGGGCACCAGAATGACTCAAGTATGGGGACTAACCTTTTGAAACAACAAGCAGCTTCTTTATTTATACAAGAGAAGAATACAGAAGAAAAGCGTCATTTTCATTCTAGCCCTTTTGGTGTTTAGGTTCCACCAGTACTTATCCCTACTACTGCTACCCTGGCCCAAGCTGTTACTGTGCCCCCCAAAGCTGCTATGTTTAGTATAAACCAGTGGCTGCAAAATTCCTGAAATGCATGCAACTTAAATTTTCTTTAAGCACACAGGGTCAAGTTCCCAAGTCCAAGTTAGTTTTTTATTTAGAACAGATAGGTGGCTATGGTTCTGCTGGATTACGCAATGTGCTTGTGCTTGTACTGGTGTCTACTGCCTCTTGGGTTTTGGGCTGCTGTACCTCTGTTCTGGACTCTCTTTGGACATTTTCATTCCTTGTACTCTTCTTGCTTTTGTCTACTGCTGTGGCACTGACTGCCATGGTTTCCTGCAGGGGCTTAACATTTTCTTGGGAGCTTGGCTGGAGTTCGTAAACTTGAACTTGACCCGGGACATCTTCAGCTTTCTGCTCAAGTTTTTCCAAAATCTGCTGGACCTTTCTTACACCATCCCTCCTGGCCTGACGCACATCAGCACGTCCTTCAGGGTCCACTGAATCCAAGGCCAGAAGCTCTTTGGTCAAATACTCTTCAATCATCAAATATTTTTTGTCTGTCTTCTTTCCTTCAAATGAATTCACAGCCTGCTCGAGCCCTTGGACCTTCTCCAGAATTGCTTCCACTTTCATCACACCAGGATGCTTGGGGCCTGCTTCCATATCAGCTGGCTTCTGTGGTGCTGGTTCAGGAGAAGACGGAATGGGGGAGGGTGGCTTCTCTTCGGCATCTACATTCTTGGAAGAGCTAGGGGCAGGAGGGCAGGGAATGGGAGAGGGGCTGGGAACTGGAGCAGAAGGGACCTTCACTTCAACCTTCTCAGAAGGAGGTGGAGGCTTCTGGGAAACTGGTTTAGATTCGGCCTCCTTGTGAATAACTTGAATTGGGATGTAGCCTGAAGAGAGATCTGGTCCAGCAGGGCTTGACTTATTTTCTGGCTTGTTTTCAGGCTGGGGTACCGGGGATGACTCTTGGCGGACCCCTGGCAGATGAGAAGCCTGGAGAAAACAAATATATTTTTAAAAACTGGAGGCTAGGTTAACTCAGAGTGACAATTGTAAGCAGATGTAGCTACGTGGATATTTTCAAAACTGAAAATACCAGGAAATAGATTTTAAGGACAGGCTTGGGCTACATAACACAAAGTGAAGTACAGATTATGAATGACATCTATCAAGTTAATTAAATCAAAGAAGAATGCCAGTCACAGATAGGGAGGATTTTTTGGGGGGGAGGGGTGAAAGCGAGGGGAGGGGTAGGACTTTTTGTTTCTTTAGACTGCACTGATTCAACTCATTAGTAATTATCAAATCTCCCCTTTTGTTATATATAAGCTTCCAGTCAGAGTATTTTCTTCTAAGATTCCATTTCTGAAAGGCTCTGTTCCTTTTCTGTCACTTCTGACTGCTCAGGGGCTGTTTCTGCCTAGGACAGTTTGCTTTTTGAAAGGATGATCAGGATATTTAAGCCTTTAAGAACCATGCTTCAGAGAAAAGGGGTGGGAGAGGGGGACGGAGCAGAAGAGTAAGAACTATGTTTCAAGACAGTTGGGGCAGAGACAAGAAGATAAAACTCTTAACTACAGGCCGCTAAGTGGCATGGTAAAATGTTAGGCTTAGAATTGGAAAGATCTGAGTTCAAACCCTGCCTCGATCGCCTCATATGTTGGAATTTGATGACCTCTAAGGTGGCTTCCAGCTCTAAAACCATGATTCTATGAAAAATGCCAAATATCTACCTAGGATGACTGAAAAGAAATAAGATGACAAGGATATTTAATCTTTTAAGAACCGTGCTTCAAAACAGAGTGGAGTTGGGGGAGGGAGGAATGTGCTTCCAGATAGCTGGGCCAGACACAAGCATAAGCAAAAACTCCAGCCAGATAGGTGGCATAGTGCATAGTGGATCCACTGGACCTGGAGTCAGGAAGTCCTGAGTTTGAATTATGCCTCAGTCATTTACTAGCTGTGTGGTCTTAGGCAAGCCACTAAACCTCTCCCATACTCAATTTCTTCAACCATAAAATGGGGCTGATAATAGCAACTAGCTCATAAGGTTGTTTTGTTGTAAGGATCAAATGAGATGTAAAGAGATCTGCAAACCTTAAAGCTCTCTTAATAAATCTTAGTTATTATTATTATTCTAGTTATTCAGTGTGTTTGCACTGACTTTCTGAGCGCATGCAGGAAGGTGAGGCATTGCACAAGTTCCACTGCTTCTTATATTATCTGTGCATGAAACAGAGATGAAATGGTGCTCTAACTCCATCTATTTACATATATGCTAACACAAAAATACACCCTCTAGCCCTCAGTGTGCTCATCTGTAAAGTACGGGACTGGAACCGATCGTTTCTAAGCTCCCTTCTTCCAGCTGTAAAGCCAGTGGGGATCAGTCAGGTTCACGGAGGAGCCTCCTCGAGCTGTGCTCACTCCAAAGCTGCACTGATCTTTCCCTGCTCTGAGGAAAGCACGTCAAGTCTCTATCTCACACCATGTTCTCTAACTGTGGATGAGCCTGTCGATACAACTGCACTGTTGGGGAAGCCCAGGAGACCAGAGAACAGGGGCATGCCTTTTACTTATACAGAGTTGGTAACCTAGGACATGCTCAATAAATTACTCATTAGTTGATAGAGGGATTGATTAATCAGGTGCAGTCAGCAATATGTTACAGTAAGTGGTTTAGAATCATGAAGCACCTCTATTTTTTTTCCTTACATAGTATAAGCAAAGAGAAGGAGACAGTGGATAGAATGCTGAATTTGGAGTCAGGAAGATCTGGGTTTTAAATCCACCTCAGATGCTTATTAGCCAGGTGACCCTGGGCAATTCACTTAAACTCTGTCTGCCTCCAGTAAAATGGAGATGACAGGAGCCACAACATTTCCAAGGGTCGTTGGGAAGATCATATGAGATAATCTATGGAAAGGAATTTTGCAAACCCTTAAAATGCTCCATAAATGTGAGCTATTACTAAGAAATACTACTATTCCACAGAAAACAGCATGGTTCTAGCAGTTAGCTCCATGAAAGGGGAGACTGAATACAAGTGCTTCAGAAGGCCCCTGTATCACAATGGCCCTCAAACCTGTATGATGATGGCAAAATATTCTCACATTGAGGTTACAAAGTCTGTTGAAGTTTTTAAATGGAAAATATGCAAAATATTATTTTTCTGCAAATACTGTCATTCTGCTAACCCAAAGCATGCAGAAGGAAGCTATCACCGTTCCATAGACCACTATATGTTTTTTCAAGTAGCACAGCTCTTTGGAGCAAACCAGGACATGTCATTTGTGTAAGAGGCACAAGAGGGTAACTTCAAGGACTTCTGGGTTAGCAAAAATGCATGGCAGATCTAGTGCTGGTGTGCTGGCAGCTCCAAGTGGCACTCGACTCACATTAGATAATAACAATAATAACAGCTAACATTTATATGGCACTTTAAGGTCTGCAAAACATTTTACATACCTTAATTTTATTTGCTACAACAACCCTTCAGGGTTGCTACTATCTCCTATTCCTAGATAAAGAAACTAAGGCTGAGAGTAGTTAAGTGACTTGCTCAAGGTCACACTGCTAGTTAGTGGCAGGGGCAGGATTCAAACCCTTCCTACTTTTAAGTCCCTTACAGCATCCACTAAGCTCCCTCGCTGCTTCAGTTCTCAGGATGAAAAGCTCTTTTACAGACAATCTAAACTTTCCCATAAAAGCAATGACGACAAGGCATCAGTCTCTTAACCAAATCCACCTGATCCTGTGATGTCACTCAGGGGAGCCCTGCCTTAGGTTCCCCTTTGCAAAGGATCACCAAAAGCAAACAAAAGTTTCACTAAACAAGCAGACAAAAATCACAGGTGTGAGAGAGACCTCAGGGATCATCCAATGATTCGAATCCAACCCGCCCACTTTACAGATTAGAACTAAAGCAAAGGAAATGACTCGCCACAGCAAATAGCTGGGGAGTTTAGAATAGATGAGAAAGCGATTAAATTAACGGATAGGGCAGAGGAATCAATTCCTGCAGGCACTCCACAAGTTACTTAGTACTTCTCTAAACTTTGGGAAAAGGATGGACTGTTTATGTTGTGGGGGTTTTGTTACTTTGAGGTGAGAGAACTTGAAAGTGATTGATCAGATCCCCCCCCACCCCAATATTCCAATAACATTAAAAAAAAGCTAGTGAGTGGCAGATACAGGAACCCAATTTCTGGATCCTTTGGTTTCACAGTTTCTGCATTTTACCACAGCTAATCCCCTAGAAGCCCATGAAATTAGGCCAGGCCCGGAAGCAGTCAGGCTGTAGCTAAGTACAAGCTGTGACAAGGAATCTTGGTTCTCGGACTGCATTTCTGTAGGCACCTCAGAAGAGAGGATAGTAATACAATAACATAGCTAACATTTATCAAGCACGACGTAAGGCCTGCAAAGTGATTTACATATATCTGAGCTTATTTGATCTTTATGAATAGCCTTGGGAGGTAGGTGCTATTATTATCCCTACTTCACAGATGAGGAAACTGAGCCTGAGAGGAGTTGAGTGACTTGCTCGGGGTCTCACAGCTACCAAGTGTCTGTGGCCAGATTGGATCTTAGGGTCAGCATTTTATAGTTATTTATATATTATTATTATTATATATAATATAATAATAATATATGTTATTTATTATAATATAATATAATTATAATATATATTATTTATTATATAGTTATTTATTATTTATAGCTCGGTATTTTATCCACCGTACTACTGACCTATCATGGAATGATAGATGGAATGGAAAGGGTACTGGATTTGAAACCACTGTAACTGGGTTCAAATCCAAATTTTCTGACCCAAATGATTTGGAAGTACTTCTGCTACTTGCTATCCTGTCTAACCGAGGGAAAGTCACTGAACTTCTGTGGCCCTGATTTTGCTCCTTGGTAAAATTAGGGGAGGGGGAAGAGCGTGGAATTTGGGGCTCTAAACTCAGAGTCCTTTCTAATTCTAAATTCCAATTAATTGCCTCACATGAAATGCATTAAGTGCATTGCCTCCAGAAATGAAAGACCAACGGGGTGAAAATTATACTAACCTCAGATGGGGTTCTTCAAGATTAAAGAATTCTTGGTATTCTGAGTAAAACAGCCTAAAGGCTTTGGAATAGAAGTCTCCCTACCTGGGGGCTGTCAATGACTGTGTGTCCTCGGGCAGGAGATGAGGAAAGTACAGATGCATTAGCTCTGCATGGAGATCCTTCCCGGCTGGATGTGCCCCTGGCAACCACTTTGAATGGGGACTGTGCATGGACGGCCCTGGGTTCCCGGTCATCAGCATGGACTCTGTATGTTGGCTGTTGGGACTGGTATTCTACTCCCTGGGAAGCTGGATAGTGAGTCTTCTGGGCCTGATGATAAGCCTGTGCTGGCTGCCTGGGGAGATTTTGCTCATGGATCACAGGAATAGGTATATAGCCTCGGGGAAGCTGGTGGCTTCCCTTGGTGCTCCTGGCAGCTGATGGAGGGAGACCAGAGGAGGAGGAGGAAGAGGAAGAGTCTGAAGCAGCTGGAGACTGGGATCTCTGTAAGTCACAAAAGTAAAAAAGATTTTTCACTTGGATGACCTCTCATCCCATGTACTCACTACATTAACCAAATGTGATGAGTTGGTTTCTTTTCTTTTCACTGGTGCCAAGAAACTGGAAACAAAGTAGATGCCCATCAACTGGAGAACAGCTACACAAATTGTGGCCTATGAATGTAATGGAATATTACCAGGCTGTGAAAACGATGAAAATAATGAATACAGAAAAGAATGGGAAGGCTCACATGAACTGATACAAAGTGAAGTAAGCAGAACCAGGAAAACAATTACACAATGATTACAACACCACAAATGGAAAGAACAACAAAATAATTAAAACTGAATGCTGTGAGAGTGTAATGATCCTATTTGGCCCCAAGGAAGACATATGAAAATGTGCCTCCCTCTTTTGAAAAGGTAAGGGACTATGGATGTAGAACACTGCATTATGGTGCTGGACTTAGCTGATGTGTTGGTTAGTTTTGCTGAAATGTCTTTAAAAAAGATTGTCTCTACTCTTTGTATCCTTTGTAATGGTTCTTTGGAAAGGGAAGGGTTGAGGGATATGCTGGGAAATAGGGGTGAGGTTAAAAACATATCAATAAAAATTGAAAAAGAAAAATCTCACAGAGCACAACTATATGCACTGCTTGTTATGAAAGAGAAAGCTTCCCCTGATGTTCTATACCAGGGTTATTTTAATTCCTACATGGAGGTAGTACAAGCCAAGCAGATGCAGACAGCAGAAGACATGAAAGCTATCTTTAGGGCAGACAGAAAATGAAAATTACTGTCTAAGAGGCAGGTAATGCTATTTGCATCTAATATGTCTAAGGTCTTGAGCCAGAAAATGGTTTAAGAGCTGGTCTTCAGATAGTAATGCACTGAATCTAACTTTCGGAACCATGGGACTTCAGAGCTGGCAGAGACCTTGAAAAAGATATGGTCCAACCCCTCATTTTGCAGATGAGGAAACAGAGGCCTGGAGAGGCTAATGATTTGCTTGAGGTCACAGCTAGCGCAGAGCTAGGAATAAAACCCAATTCTCCAGACTCCCAAGCTATCTGTATTTTAACTTTCCCACAATGCTTCCTTGCATAGGATCATAATGCTAGAAAACTGGAAAGAGACTTTATTAACGGTCATCTAGCCTGACCTCATTTTACAGTTGGAGAAATGGAGGCCTAGAAGTGTGAACTTACTTGCCAAAAGTCACCCTGGTAGTACAAGCCAGAGTGAGTAGCTAAATCTGATCCTCCTCCTCCTAATCTTCTATGCCAGACTACAATTTAGACTGAGGGTCTTAAAACACTGCCTTAACGCAGCTACCTCCAGCAGCAATTTGGTTTGGTTTTACTTTAGAATTAGAGATATTCAGCCTTACCTTGCTTCAAACTTAGCTATTTTGTCTCTGAAATAGGAAGAAAATTAATTGACCATAAGAACCATTAGTTGTTTGGTTTTGGGGTTTTTTTGGGGGTGGGGGCAGAATGAAGGCAGCATGGTAAAGTGGAAAGAGAACCAGGTTTGAGAATCAAAAGATATGTAGGTTGAAATTCTTCCTCTGACACTTACTATTTATGTGTCTGCATAGCTCTTTTATAAGTCAAATGATCTTTTTAAGACTTAGTTTCCTCACCTGTAAAATACCTACCTCACAAGGTTGTTGTGAGAATTAAATAATACAGCACTTTAAAACACCATAGAAGTATCAGCTATTATATTATTTGATGAAACAGCCTCAAGAGATTATTAAAACAGTATGCTAATTAATATACATTTTCAGGGAATGTCTATTGTGAGGACTTTGGATAATTGTTGGAAAAGTGTCTTTTGTCAAAAGAACATGTACTGGGGGAAAAAAGCCAACTTTTCCTGAGTGGCTTGTTGACTGATGAGGATACCCAAATAATCCATTATACATTAAAAGTCAGAAATGCCCAGGAAATCCGAATTATATGCCTATGGGTGACCGAATGAACCAAGGCAGCCCCAAAGGGCAACGAATGGTGGCTAGGCCACCTTCCTATAAGACACACCCAATTACCTCAAGTCCTTGAGAGGCTGGAGCTGCTGCAGCTGTTGTTGCCTTTCCACACTGTTTTTCTGTCTGTGTAGGTTCAGATGAGCTTCTGAGGGTGGATTCTGATGGGGAAAAGGACCTTAATGGTGACTGAGATCTCAGAGGGGTTGTTTTTGCTTTCACTCGCTGTATCCCAGGCTGATGGTAGGAGTAGAACGGGTGCTGCTGCCGGTTTTCAGATCCTTCGTGGAGAACTGGAATGGGTATGTAGCCAGCACGAAGCTGGGGATACACGAGGGTGCCCTCCCTAGCAGGAGGCAACTTGGGACTCTCCTCAGATGGGCCATTGGCTGATGACTGACTTTCCTAAAACAAAAGGAACCAGAGACAAAGAAATGGGGGATGGAAATGAATGACAGGAAAGCAAAATATAGAAAGCATGTAGCTAGTCAAGTCTTCAGAACCAAAGAGAACTTCTTGACACCCACGAACAATGTGGGAATTTTTGGACAATCAACTTTCAATGACCATTAAAAAAAAAAAAAGCCCATGGCACTCTTATTCCATCTATCTGACTCCCAGGGTAGGAGCCACAACCATCTCTGCTCCTCTGCTATTTCCAAATTATTCTCTCAATGGTCATTCTTCTTTTGAGGGGAGGGACTTTTCTTTTTGTCTGTCTCCCAAAGGCCCTATACCTTGTAATTGCTTGATAAATGTCTGCTGGATGTTAAAAAAAAAATTAAAAATTAAAAAAAAAAAACAAAACCAACCACTTTCGTACCATTATTCTCCTGTCTCCTCAAAGCTTTTTTTTTTTTTTTAAACCACCCTAAGGTGCTAAGGAGCCTACCGTTTGGCTAAATGTTAAAGAAGCATAACAACAAAGAGAAAGTAGGATGAGTTTTTGGTTGGCATCCCTAACAATGAGAAAGGTCAATGTCCATAACTGGCCAGTCAAGTCTACTCTGGGTGATATAGTGGGCAAGAGAACACATCAAACAGATAGGTATTTGTGGACCTTACTGAGTCATCTGAGAGCCAACAGAGAGAAATGATCAGTGTTGCAGTACTGGTACTTAAAGAAATTCAAAAAAGTCAAATTACAGAACTACATTATTTCAAGACAACTCATAGATTTAGAGCTGAAAGGAATCTGGGGGCATCAAGTCCAACTACCTCATTTTACCAATGAGGGGAATGAAGCACATAAAGGTTAGATAACTTTTCCACGGTCACACTGCTATTAAGTGTCTGAGGTAGGATCTGGACCCAGGTCGTCTGGGTTCAATCCCGTGTCCACTATGCTATACTTTTTCAAGCTTCCTACAGATTTACGCTTTGTTTACTAATTAGAAAGATTAAAGATGAGCCAAAGAGGTTTGTAACAATGATCTTCGCACCAATACAAAGAGGCTAGCTAACAGAAAATAAGTTCAAGCCAGGGCTCAACAAGAGAAGTTGAGAACAGGGTAAAATGCCTTCAAGTATACAGAAAGAACATAGAAGTGGTTATAAGCCTAGGACTGCAGAGCCTAGGGCTATTTGTGCCTTATTGATGCTAACAAGCCCAGGTTAAGAATGACTGGGATCCTCCTTATGTCCTCTTATGAAGTTCTTCCTTCAGTGGTCAGTCTATTTTGGGGCCCTCCAGAAGGCCAAGTTCCAGATGTACCACTGGGAAAGATCAGGTTACAGACAACAAGGCACCTCGGTCACTCACTAAGCAATGTCATTATTTACCATGCAGGGAGCTTTCCAAAGGAAGGCATATCACACATATATTTGGAGTCCCCCAAAGTAGCTAAATTTTATGAGTAAAAAATGTCAAACTGACATTTGACCATTGACCAAATTGAACTTTGACCACATGGCAACTTCTTTGAAAGGTAGTGATTTTCTGGCCCAAATAGAAATATTTTTCCTTAAGTGACCATATCTTTGAAGACAAAAACAAAAATTAAAAACTAAGAAACTTTGAGATTACAGAGAAAAACTTCTCCTGCAACAAGATTTGTTCAAGCCAAAAAAGTGACCATGAGAACTATTCGACAGATCTAAATTTTAGTTTTGTTACATGAAACATGTATGTATGTAAACATTTAGATGACTTTGGACACTAAATATGTTTACTTAACAATGTTTCCCTCTCTTGGAGGAACCCCGTTCCTACCAACTTTCTTTAGCAAATATCAAAGGCAAGGATATCACTTTGTCCTTGGGGACCCTGGCAGCTACCACCCACTCTCAGGGGCTGGATTAACACACCCACATGCTGGGGCTCCAGCATTTTTTTTTATTACCATGCTTAACTCTCCAGAGTCAGGCATCATACCAAGAGCTGAATTTCTAACCACTAAAAGAGGCTAAAAGGAACAAGAGAAAAATATTGCTGTCTTTCTCAAAGGTACCCGTGGAAGATTTATTCCTCTTCCTTTCCACTTTAAAGAGGGGAGTTGGAAAAAAGGCTGAGTTTTCATTACTGCTATAGGGTTTTAGTGGTGTTTTTTTTTGGGGGGGGGAGGGTGGTGGTTGGTGGTTGGTGGTGGTGGTGGTGGTGGTTGTTTTCACCTGTCATACTATTTCACAATGTTGGACAAAAGCCTTAACTGGGGTATACGGAATGACGCCAAGTCAACAAGTTTTATTAAAAGCCTACTATGTGCCAACACTGAAACAAGAGCTACAGAAGATACGTAGATGAGAGTGTCTCTTACCTTCAAGGAAGTTTACAGCCCAATGAGAGTGGCAAGAATCCATACACAAAATACTCAGCATTCAAAATAATAGTTAAGAAGTTGCATGGCATAGACTCTTGGGGTTTGTGAATTTTTAAAAAATATATTTTGATAACTATGTTTCAATATAATTGGTTTCTTTTATAATCCGAGGCTTCACCAGAATGCCAAAGGGTGAGGAGCATGTCAAATGAATCAAGAGAAGGAAAAGACTGGGGTTTTAGGTAGTTGGGAAGGCTTAGAAAGTCATGGAGGTGAAGGAGCTGGGCCTTGAAAAATATGTGGAACTTGGATAGGTGGAAAAATAGTAGGAGATAAGAATGGGATAGAGGGCAACACAAGCAAAGACAGAACTGAGCAGGTGATGTGTCAAGGACTAGCTTTACTGGGGCAAAATTACATGATGTATGGAATGGCTGGTGATTAAGACTGGAATAAGTAAAGTGGGAAGACCTTTCTTGTTTGGTTGAGTTGCTTAGTCTTGATTTGACAGGCAGTAATAGGGAGAGCCTGTGTGTTAGTAAGTAGAGTAGGATTACATAATGAAAACATTGTTTTAAGAAGATTCTGAAAGACTGTACTCAAATTCTTCTACCTTGTTAAGATCTGCAAGAATGTGTCCTCCATTATGCACAAGAGAACCCCATGATAAGCCACTGGAATAAGGCCTAAATGGAAGACTTCTGTATAGGTCCAACAATGCTCTCTATCATGAGGACCAGCCTAGCTGGGATCAGAGAGGACAATCATCTATTACCTAACAATGACTGATGAGTTTTTTTTTTAGCCATAGCAACATATGAAGACTGTCTACACCAAGGTGCAAGGGAGTTCCATCACTTGGCACAGTGCCTGGCACATTGGAGGGGCTTAATAAGTGCTATTTGACTAAGTTTCAGTCTGTATGGAGGGAATGGACCCAAACTCTGAAAATGACATATTCTTTAAATATTTTGAAGGTCAAATGCAGGATGGACTGGAGAAGAGAAAGCCAGGATGAAGGGAGACTAGTTAGAGAGTTTATTGTAAAATATTGTAGAAGGTAGGCATGAGTCGAGAGGAAGCATGGTATAGTGAAAAGAGTCTTGGATTGGGAGTTGGAGGATTTACTGTTTGTATCCCAGTTCTGCTACTTACTACCTGTGTGACCTTGGGCAAATCACCTAGTCACTCTTAGCCTTTTTTTTTTTAATCTATAAAATGAGGTTGGACTAAATGACCTATAAGGCTTTTTCTAGATCTAATGCATAAATCTATAATAGGGGTAGTGGCAGTGGTAAAGGACAGAAAGGAAGGAATCCAAGAGACTATGAGAAGGAAGAACCAACCTAACCTGGTGACAGAATGGAAAGAGAACGAAGGACAGGAAGAGGTCAAAGATGACTGACAGCTAAATAAGTATTTGTACCTTTTTTTTAACATTTTAACAATTATTAGACATTGTACAGTAACTTAAATTTGTTATATAAAAGGTTACTAATTAGTGAATTCTCTAAACAAAACCCTTGAACACAAGAAAAGATGGCATTTACGTAGCTAAACAGTTGGAAGGGACTTTGGAGATCATTTAGTCCAATGCCCTCCCTTTTATGAATGAATTAAATGAGTCCCAGAAAGATAAAGTTGTCCAAAGTTACATGGCTAGTTGGTGGAAGAGTTGGCATCTCTATATCGATGTTGACACTGATAAGCAATCCTCTCTCTTCCCTTGACTTTTGTCAAGGATCTCTCCTGGTTCTCCTCCTATTGGTGTGGTTACTCCTTGGTCTTCTTTGCTGTATTATCATTCATGTTCTGTCCCCACCCTAAACTCTAGGTGTTTCCCCAGGGCTCCGTTCTGGGCCCTCTTTTCTTTACTTCTTTCTCTAAGGTGTCATCAATTCCCATGGATTCAACTATACCTTAAAGCCAATGACTCACCAACCCATACATCCAGCCCTACTCTGTTCTCTCTTGGTAACCTGTTGGACACCTGACTGGATGTCTCACATGCATCTCAAACTCAGTATATTCAAAATGGAACTCTTCTCCCTAACCTTCCCTATTTTTTCTTTCTGTTAAGTGCACCATCATTTTTTGTAGTCTCCCCAGTTCACAAATTCAGAATCATCCTTGCCTCTTTCTCCTTTCTTGCCCCCTATTTAATCGATATCTAAAATGTTGGCTCTTCCTCCACAAAATCTCCTGTATCTGTTTCAAATCACAATCCTTCCCATTCGCAGTCCTGACTCTAGTTCAGGCCCTCATCATCTCTGTTCTGGACTATTGTCCTTGCCTCCTGATTTATTTCTTTTGGTCTCTCTGCTTCTAGTTCCTCCTCGCTAAACTTCACAGATAGCAAAATAATCTTCCTAATGTATTTATCATTCATTCCCCCGCTCATGAATCTTCAGTGGTTCCCCACTCTCTCAAATTCAAATATAAACTACTCTGCAACCTGGCTCCCTTTGCAGACTTCCTTCTACACTCACTCTAGGTTCCAATGAAACCAGCCTTCTTGCTGGTTCCCCTAAAGTCAACATTCCAACTCCCACTCCTGGGCCTTGTAGAGATTACTCCCCCAGTTTGTCTACTGTTCCCCAAACCTGGCATTCCATTTCTTGTCTCTGTGTCTGCATAAACTGTCCC